ATATATATATATATATATATATATGTGTGTGTGTATATATATATATATATATATATTAAAATTTCACTAACTATATTTTGTTTAACTTTTTCGAATTATTTGAATACGATTTATCGATGATTCTATTAACAATTAATATATATTTATATAGACAATCCTCAGATCATTAATCAAAGTACTCATACTACCGCGCAACGCGCGGTTCCCATACTAATAATCTTTAAGATATTACCATCGATGAGGATCATGCCATTGATTATGAAATGAGGTTATGGAAGATAAATAGTTCCTTATTTTCGAAGGTTTGAATTATAAGCAAATGTTGTATGTCTCTATTAGTATATGGAAGTGTAAAAAAATGCATCTATTAGATGACCATTTCAATTATAAAGATATAATAGATAATTTTTATAGGTTATCTGTTTTATCTGTAAGTCAGATATAGGTTATCTGATATCTTGATCTTGTTAGAATTTTGGAAATAGAATATCAATATACTTGGATGATTCAAGGACCGTGTATTAAACACTTTACAAAATCTGTAATTTCGACCCTATAGTCTGGCAGTGACGAATCCAGGAAATTAATTGGTGGGGGCACGTTGGATGAGACTTGGGGGAGGGAAGCATATGACCATATGGGACTAAGGGAAACCATGTAAGACGAGGGTGAAAATAGAAAATTTAAGGTAGTCAACAAAGATTTTTGGTTTTTGACTGAGGGAGGTGCTTAAAGGCTGGATCCGCCCCTGTAGCCTGGGATACCACGAAATCAGCTTTGTGATAATCCAAGAACTACGATCTGGATTTTAGGCAAAATCCAAGATCAAACACATAATTTCCTTGCTTGTTTATGTACATTAAAAGACAAAAATCCGACAGAGTGACAATATGCAAAAGATTGTCACCCTGCAATGAATCGAAATCGTATACATAGTCACCGGCAATTAAATCGGTTATTTTGGTGGGAGTAGTGTCTGTTCTCAAGAGACGTGACTGTTCGAGAGTTGAGATCCATTTCTTACATATGGATGAATTTTCCAGGGGCTCTGCCCCCTTGGAATCCCTCCAGGAGCGCTGCCCCCGAACCCCTACGTACCCGAGATCAACATAACTTATCTGAGCGTGCACTATGCACCTCCAAGCTCGAATTATGATTAATTAAGTTCAATTTCGGCTTGTCTCACATTAATCCCGATCATACTAAATGGTTTGATGACACTAAAATCACCAACAAATCTTACCCTATGATCCATTTTGTGTTCCATCTTTCTTATTTTTTAATGGTTTTTGGCGGTTTGAGATAGCAAAAGAATCAACTGTTGATGATCAATTCAATATTTCGTTGTAAAGTTTTATTGTTTCGCTCTGAATGTTTGATGATATCAACTCACATAAGAGTTGTAATATGATCTCTAAACGGTCTCGCGTAATTCAAAGTTAATGGAAAAGCTATACATTTTAAACTCATCATATATAATAGAAATAAGGGGTCGTTTATCCAAACGCTTATCTAATAAGCACTTACCGATAAAAGTCCACACTCTCGCTTACCGTACATGGTAAGATTCTAATACATTAGAACGATATCATTTGCCATTTTTATCGCATAAGATAAGTGACACGATAAACACTTATCAGATAAATGTTTGGTCAACGACTCATAAATCTTGCATTAAACACCAAATTTCACACAAAATCATTCAAACGAGAACACCAAATTTGGTGTAATAAACAGTAACACACCAATTTTGGTGTAACACTATTTATTTACACCCAATTTTTTATTATTTTCACAATTACAAATTTTGGTTCCGTAATTTTAAGATATACGTATTTTTATTACCCATTTAAATTTAATACTTTTTACGTGTTCGTTTATAGTTTATATTTATATCAAAATTTTGAATTAATTGAATTATGTATTCAACTGCATTTTAAATGCATATTTATTAGTTTTTTCGAATTTGTTTTGCAATGTAACTTAATAAAATAATTTAATTCATAACAATAACTAATTTCTATTAATGTAAAAATAAAAAAATAATTTCTAAAATTAATAAAATAGAGTGTACCATTAAACGTTTATATAATTAAAATAAAATTCTAAAAATTTAGATTTTTTGTGTAAATTTATTTTATTTTATGGACAAATTGCATGAAAAACTAACGTATTTTAACTTGATTTTTATTTTAAGTAACGTATTTTCAAAACTTTCAATGTTGACACCTAAGATGTAAAGTTTTAAATATTTAAGTACTCAGATAACCGGTTGAAGTATTAATCGATTATCATGTTGATGTGATGAGTAATGTTGTATCTAACTCAGTATTATTTGCTGACGTGGTTAGTGATATGAATTTTTGTTAATCTAAAATTAATATGTAATTTAAAATTAGTTTTTTTAACCGATTACTCAAGTACTTAAATGTTTAAAATTTTTTTAAATATTAAAATAAAAATTTTAAAAATATGTTACTCAAAATAAAAATAAAGTTAAAATACGTTACTTATTTTTATATGTAATTTATCTTATTTTAATATATAGTTGTATAGATCTAATTGACAACGTTTATATGCTTATCCTCGTTCGCAAGAGTTTTGATGGCATTTGGTTGATTTTAAATTATTTTTTTGACTGCTTTTGGGAGATTTCAATATTTGACTATCAAGCGTTTACCTTGATCGAACGGACAAGATTTCCAGACGCGGAAAACGTTGTACACGTGGGAGTTTTCGATTGGATGAGGAACCGACTGCTTTGGTACCGTGGGCCGGTGGCTTTTTGGAGCTTTGCAACTCCGAACCGGCAGCGGAAGTTAGGTCTCTAATCAAATTTGGGTTGCGGATAACGTCTTCATCCTCCCAAACTGCTTGAATCTTTCAATTTGAAGTCGATTTAACGTTCAACCGATTTGATTTCATTCACCAGTAAGTGAATGCCTTTGTTTTGATTACTTTATGTAGAATTAGTTACTCTAGAAACCTAATTGTTGCTTAATGAGTAGTTAATCTTTTGAAATAGCAAATTTGAATGAATTTCGTGTTTTGTCATCGATAATTGGTTCATAGATAGACGTTATGTTCGGGAGGTCGTTTCCGATGGTTTTGATTTGGAAATGAGGTGAAATCAGTTTAGAAGTTTGAAGTGATTGAGCTCCAATTGTGGTTTTAAAACTAGAATTGGAGCAATGATTGGCGAGGCATTGGCCACGGGGGCATGTAGGGAGTTCCGTAATTTGTTTCTAATTTACTGATCCATTGACAAATTATCTTCAGTAAGTGATTAAACGTTCAATCTGAAGTCGATTAAACGTTCGACCGATTTGATTTCATTTACCAGTAAGTGAAATTCCTTTGTTTTGATTATTTTCTGCAGATTTAGTTACCTTAGAAACCTAATTGTTGCTTAATGTGTAGTTAATCGTTTGAAATAGCAAATTTGAATGAATTTCGTGTTTTGTCTCCGATATTTGGTTCATAGAAAGATGATTTCTTCGGGAGTTCAGGTTCCGATGGTTTTAATTTGGAACTAGATTGAACTCAATTTAGAAACTGAAGTTATTGAACTTCAATTGTGGTTCTAAACCTAGGATTGGAGCAATGATTGATCAGGCATCGGCCATTGTAACTTGTTTCTAATTGAATGATCCATTGATAGATTATCTTCAGGAGAGCAGTTATATATCTATTGATAAAGCCTAGATGTTCACAACTGATTTAAGTTCGATGAGTGAAAAAGAATCGAGTAATACAAGGAAAAATCTCCAAATGCATGAGATAAAAGAACGTCCACGCATTAATCTTCCGGCACTTCGTGGCTTCTTGTTGCAGTTTCCTGGAAAACTTCAGAAGCATCTGAAGGTCTGTTGATTCTTCTGAAGCCTGTAATCACTTAATTATCTTATCTACGCCATTGTAAAACTTTTATTCCATTTGATGCAGTCAAGGTTCAAGAGGCCAACAGAAAAAGTGGGAGGAAACAGGGAGATGTTCAAACTGAAGGATTCAAAATTCAATCTAGAAAAGCAACTGCAGGCTTGGAGAAAAAATCCTGTGTGGGATGATAATCAACCCCCTGGAATTGAGGTAAGAGTAGCCTGGTTGATCCAGTGTCCGGTGATGTGGCAATACTTTACTTCCCCAACTGTCTGCATTGGCCAGTCAAAACATGCTAGTTACCTGTATCATAGGCTTGAAGTAGAATTAAGGGATTACTTTTTTCCCATTAAGCCCTGCATAGGTTAAACTGTCTGCCCGGATAACTTTGTTTGGCGGGATAAAAATATATTTTTGTTTCTTTTTCTGAATCAATGACGTTCATGACATAAATGAACATTTTACCCCTTAGTACGACAAACGAATTAAATTGTTGTTTATTTTTTTGTCAATGATATTTAGAAATGATAAAAACTACTTGAACATCAAAACATAATGGTGGCAAGCCACACCGGCACATGTAGCAGGTATGCTTCAGGCCTGTTTGGTTGGTTTTTCATTAAATCATATATGAATGAAGTTGTCTATGTGTATCAATTTGTCTGTATGGATCGAGAATGTTTTTGTCTGGGAGGGTTTTTTCATAGATGGAAGAAGTGTGTTTTTTAATTGGGAGGGACAGATTTGGGAAAAACTTTGCTTTCTGCATAAAGCTTTCCCCTAGAAGCTTCACTTTCTATATCATTAAGCCACTACCAAACAGTCATATATAGCTGACTGAATAAGCTGCGAGTCCCATTAAGCTCATTAAGCTGCTAACAAGCAGGCCCTTAGACTTGCCTTTGGCTTTGTCCATATGTTGCATAGAAAACTAGTGAGGTATATCAAAATGTAGCTTGCTTTTGGCTGCTGAGGCATTGCTTGAGCTCAGATACTGCAGAATTCTGATGTATATAATTATATTAAATCAAGCGGTTTTAACATTCCAATTCAATGTTGCAAATTCTGATTAATTATGAACTTTGGAGTTGGTTAATTATTCAAGCAAGCAATAATACTATATAAACTTCTTGTGTTGCTTGATTCGAAGGGAAATTGGTTATATAACAACGTACCCAAGCACAAAGTTTGTGAAGCCTGTCTACTAACTTGTATATGGACATTTGCAGGTCATTGTACCCAAAGGGTCTTTTTGCCAACTAAATGTAAAAGTGAATGTGGGCTTGCCCCCAGATGCAATATACAATATTGTCACCGACCCAAACAATAAAAGGGTCTTCAAGAATATTCAGGTAGGTGAGCGTCGAACATTTATATGTTCTTTTTATTTCATCAACATAGAGGAAAGAAAAGGCAAAAAAAGAGGATGCCAGCATTCTCTTGATAGAGAATATACATAATCTTTCCAGCAGGATGCACATGTTTCTTGCTTAAACCAGATGTGTCCATGGTCCTCTATGCTGAATGTTGTTGATTATTGTATCAGGAAGTACTATCCAGAAAGGTTTTGCTTGATGAAGGTTCAAGGCAGGTTGTTGAATTGGAGCAAGCTGCTATATGGAGGTTTCTGTGGTGGTCAGGAACCATTGCGGTTCATGTAATGGTAGATCAGAACCGAGAAGATTACTCAGTAAGTAACAAGTTTGTTTTCTCTAAAAAGTTCATTGATCACAGCTCTCCCCCTAGAAGTAGATCAATACATAAGCTTATCGCAATGCAAGTGCCAATCCTTCACCAAGATGACACTTAAATTGCTCCACTCCTTTCCTCCTTGGTGACCACCTTTTACTGGGCTAAATTCATGAATGCATTTCTCAAAACTTCTATTTATCTGCAAAGGCATCCTTTTGGATTAGAATCAGTATCTCGTAAAGTAGGAAGAAACTAGGCTAGCTGGGCCGATTCAAGATGTTTGGACTTCTTCCAGGGCACGTAAATGCGTGGGTAACAAAAGTTTCACCCCTTGGGCGTCAGATCCACTTACCTCGGTATTTAAAGAAAATAACAAGAAACCATAGCATAGGGCAGGGGCTGACTTAAGGAGGGAGGGGGTGGCTGTGCTACCGCTCTATCGTGATGCATAGTGGAAATTTTTATAGAAGTCCTAAAGATGTACCCGCATTAATTTGATGTATGCTCTCTTAAATAAACAAAAAGTGGTTGTAGCCTATTGGTAGTGTCATTGCATGTGGCATTAGATGTTGCAACTTAAATTTTATTTGGTTCTCTTTTACTTTTTTGGTAACAGCAGCAGAAAAGAAGTAAAAAAAAGGAAAAAAAGAGTGGGTATTGTAAAAAACCACTTTTTATGTTATTTTTGATTAAGCGGTGCTTTTTCATAATTACTTTTTGTTTTATTTTATATTATGCTAATTATTTTGTGCCACCGCTTGGAAATTTTTCTGGATCCGCCTCTGATATAAGGTTATGCAATAAATAACATCATCATTGTTTATCATATCAATGATATCATAGACTTAGGATAATGTTAGACAGTCTGTTTCTGCAAGACCTGTGAGACCATAAAATATCACTGAATCTTCACAGCGTGAAGGTACAAAACACAGCGGACAATCACAAACAAAAACTGTGAAGGTTTGTTTTTGTATCTTCACAATATGTTTGCAACTGCTCTCACGGGTCTAACGGAAACAGACCGGTCACGAGAACCCAATCCATCATATCATATATGCTGGAGTAAGTTATGATTTTAGTCCCTGTGGTTTGTCAATAATTTCAATTTTTGTCCCTATGGTTTAGAAATTTCTATTTTCGTCCCTATGGTTTGCAATTTATTGCTATTTTCGTCCTTGGACTAATTCCTACCTTTAAGTACAAGAGACCAAAACAGTAAAGGGTTGTAAACCATAGGGACCAAAACAATAATAAATTGTAAATCATAAGGACAAAAAAACGATGAATTACAAACCATAGGGAGTTCTAAACCACAAGGACGAAACTCACAATTTTTAACAAACCACAGGGACGGTAAAAAGTAATTTACTCTATACGCCGTTAATTTCTTTTACGTGCGCTTGAATATCTCCTTCCTTCTTCTTTGCCAGATGAAATTCAAGCAAGTTAAACCAGGATTTATGAAAAGATTTGAAGGTAGTTGGAGAGTAGAACCCATTTTACTTGATGAAAAACTATGCCATCCCTTCAAGCCAAAGACTTTATCAGAGTATATGTCATACACTCAAGGCAAAGGAAGAATTGCATCAAAAGTAACCCTGAAACAACTAATTGAACCTGCTATTGTTCCTCCCCCACCCATTTCTTGGTATCTTAGGGGAATCACAACAAGAACTACCGAAATGCTCATAAACGATTTACTCGATGAAGCTGCTAGAATCAAAGGCGTTTCAGGCACCGATCATATCGTCACAACAGAATCAGATTTACGTCAGGGATTATCGGACGAACGATTGCCCGATGAAACGTTTGATATCAAAGAAAGATGGGCATTGCGGAGAAGAAAAGCTCGGAAACCGATGTGAAGGAAGATTGCGTTTTGAGATGATCGAGTTCGTTAATTTCGGTAAGTAACTTCATGGCTCTAAATTACTTGTGATCATTTTGTTTTTAGAATCTTGATATTTGCATATTATACCACTTGATGCTAATGCTCCTTGCATTTGTTTTCTTGAGTTTTTATAGTATAATGTGTATGATTGCATGTTATTATTTTGTATGACATGTACTTAATTATGTGATCCAAAATAACATATGGTAAATAAGTTCATTTTTATATGGGTTTAAGTTTTTTAATTAATTAAAAGACATATATGTGATCTAAATAGGTTTTTCAATCCCTTTTCTAAAGTATAGGGTAGTTTACTAAAATGTTTATTCAGGTAAGTGCTATTAAGTCATATTTCTTTACCAGATGAATATAATAAGGACCAAAAATCTCTTTTTTTTCCATAAATTTTTTGGGCAAACTTTGTCAATTATTTTGCACACTTTTTAGGATTATGCCGTGTTCTCGAAACTTTTAAGTAAAGGAAAGGAAGAAAAATATAAAGACTCGTGTTCTCATTTTTTTTAGGATACATAGGAAAGAAAATAATAATAAGCTTTTCAATAAAGGGTAAAACGCCTGAAATATCAATCTGCTTTTATAAAAAACTTTATTACAATATTATATTTTCAGTTTTTCTTATTACAGCTATATACTTTCCAAATATTTTTTATTATGGCATCATATTTTCAAAATTTATCCGTTATATCGTTGGGTAACCTTTTAAATTAATTTTACCCATTATATCAGGTTCTTTTGCCACCTCATCGTCCATGTAGGTTGTCCACATATACGATACTGCTGACATGATATTTTTTTATTATAGCATTGTACTTTCAAAATTACTTTATTATAACATTATCAATTTCTATTAGAACATTGTACTTTTAATTTTAATATATTTATTATTTAAACATTGTAAATTTAATCTAATATGATTACTAAAAATTATAATATCATAAATTAAACATGTTTAAAAAATATCATATTTATAAAATTTATAATATCATAAATTAAACATGTGTAAGATTTAGATATCATTTTTTATGAATTTTTTTATTCATGAAATAGTGATCTTTTGTAAACATGTTTAATTTCTGATATTATAATTTTTAGTAAACATATTTGATTAAATTTACAATATTTAAATGATAAAAATATTAAAATTAAAAGTACAATACTCTAATAAAAAACTATCAAATCTTTCATTCTAAAAAATATATTTTAAAAAGGTATATTTGTAAAAATGAAATATTTTTCCCCCATCTCCCTTGTTCAATACATTGAATTTTTTTTTTTCCTTTTCCTTTCCTTTTAAGAATACAAATAATTTTTCGATTAAATTATATGTTTAGTCCCTATGATTTGTTCAAAATTTCTATTTTCATTCATATACTTTTGAAATTACAATTTCCATCCCTAATAATCTTCATTTCATCGTTGTTTTAGTCTTTATAATCTTGTGCTCTTTTTGTACGTGTAGTTTACAACTCTTTACTCTTTTAGTACCATATACTAAAAGGTAAGAGTTGGAGTATGGGACAAAAATAAGTAACTAACAATGAATTATAAACTATAGGAATAAAAATCTCAATCTCAAAATCACAAGGATGAAAGTCGCAAATTTTAACAAACCATAGGGACGAAAAATACAATTTACTCTAATTTTGTTTCTTTTGTCCGCAAATCCGAACACGCGTTATACCTTTTTTACACTTTGAAATCTACAAAAACCAAACGGATCTAGTGTTGAAATGTTAAATAAAAAGTTGAAGCATTGACGATAGCCAAAAATTTGTAGTTTGACGATTTGCTTGATGGATTTCAAAGCACTCAAGGGTGCGTTTGGTGTGTGATACAACATAGGACTTGATACAATAGAAACTTGTTGATCCACGTTTAGTGCAACAGTTAGAGTAGGATTTAACAAGAATGAGCGAGACAAAATTTCGTTCCACCAAAGCAGGTGGAACAAAAATCAGGGTGATGAACCAGACTTGTAAATTACCAATAGTTCTATCATTTGTTTCTCAATCTTGTCCGATCAGTCTTTTTCGCCTACCAAACACACATCGTAGACAAGTGAGAGTGAAAGGTGAAGATTCCTTGCACGCTGTTAGTTGTACCTTATGCAGGTACGTTTGTACTATTACTTGTTTGTTCTTTCATCTTTTTGTAAACCATATAATCATGAAAATTCTTACACAAACATCATAAAAGACAAAACTAAAAAAACAAAAGAGGAAGAGGACATCATATTAATGCGTTATGCCGAACAAGAAGAGGAAGAAGAGCCGAAACGACATTGCTTCGGTCTACCTGGTTTCATATACATAACGACACCATTTATTGTTTAAGAACCCCAAAAAATAACCATTGTAGATGTTAAAATAAACCACATGTCTCGTTTGGTTTGCATGATTTGAAAAGATTTGATGGGTTTTAGAATTCAAATCTATTTCAATCCCGCGTTTGGTTTGCAGGATTGCTCGGATTTGAAATCCTAGGATTTCTTTGAAATCCCTCAAACATAGGATTTTGAAATTCCATATGGGTGATTGGGATTTCAAAGGATTAGTGTATAATAATATCTTAAAATATGTTTAAAACATTTGTTTTCCAATAATCAATTAATAATAAGATAATTTAATTATTTTTGTAATTATTTGTAATTTGTTTTTACAAATTATTTATGAAATTCAATTCCATTTCAAATCATAAAAACCAAACATTCCAAATCCTTATAAGTACAAATCTTTCCATAAAATCTAAATCATACTCAGTTTTTTTTACCTTTTTCTTATTATATTATTGTCAACTCAACAAATTAAGAGTATCGTCAAATAGATTCTCTAAAATGGACGATGAAAAATCAAAATTTTCAATCATTTCCAACAACTTCTCCCATTTGGAGACCAATATTAATTAAGTTATTAAATATTCAATACAATTAATAAAATAGCATTTATCTTTCATAAACATCTAATTTCAAGATTTCTTATTGGTAGGAAGCATAAAAAATAATTTCTCTTTATTAAATAATCATTCCTGGAGAGTTTTTCAAATTTGAAGAAATTCAGTATCTCTTTACTTTCTCCATTTTGTATAAGGTTTTAGAGAATCTGTTTGAACAAAAATCCTCAAAAATCTCCATTTTTATTTTTTTTATTAGAGATGCTCTAAAAATATTCATAAAACTCTGTTATGCTACTCTAAAGTTATGTTTAGCAAACTAGCTCATAAGCATAAGCTAATTGATGATATACATAATAAGTTAGCTGATAAACACATCATGTTTGGCAAAAATTAGCTTATAAACGTTCAAAAAGTGCATCTTGAAAAATTATTCAACTATAACATTTCATAATATAATTAAAACAAATCTCTAAAAAATAATATATGTTAATTAATACGAAAAAGATGATAAAATAAATATATAATATAATATGTTGACTAAAAGAATTTCAAATTAATTATTATAATTTTGAGATTTGTTAAATAAACTTTAGAAAAAATCTATTAATTTATGATTTTAAACAATCTTTAAATATAATATAAATAAACATAAAAATGTCAACCTCGCATATTCTAATTAATTCATAATTTTTCAAGCGAGTACAAGATCGAAAAGAATGTGTTGCATGGGAAAGTGAGATGCCCAATATATTAAGAATGAGGGGAAGAATCGACTCTTCGAAGTACTATCCAGTAGGTCCTCAGTGCCCTCTGATCCCAATCCCAGCTTCGGTCTCTTCTCCTGTCAGTAGAATGACCAAGTACTGGAATTTCACCATGACTGTGGATCTTAGCACCCAAAAAGTCCGTCTGTACAAAAAATCTAAGTAAAAGCTTGTGAAACTAAGTAGGGCCTCTTGAATTGAACCTTAAGTAATCTAATCAGTGATGCAAAGCTAAATCCATTAGGGAGACTATCGTCGACCAACCTTAGGAGGGAGACTACCCCCCCCCCCCCTTGAAGGGAGCTTGCCACGATATTGTTCTATGGAAGTTAGTGGGCTGTTAGAAGTTCGGCCCCTCTTTCTGGAGCCAACAGGTTTTGAATGACCCACCTCTCACGGTTAAAAAAGTGCTTCAAAATATATATTTAATAATTAAATTAAACATTTTATTATTTGTAAAACAGAATAAGTAATTTGATGTAACTTACATAAATATTTTTAAAAAATTTATATTTACTTTTTGATAACTAAATATATTGAATAATAATTACAAAATAATTGATAAGATTAATATTTTTATAGATAATTAATATTAATGTATAAATTAAAATTAATTAATAAATAATATTTATTAATATAGTCTTTATTTTGTTTCTCTATTTTTCTTGAACCCTTGACCTTCAAAAAGGTTGGGATCCTCGGACACCTTCAGGCCATCGACTCTTTGGCTTTGACAAGTTTGTTCTCATCGAATGATATTATGTGTGTTTCAACCGTTGACGAAGATCAAGAAATCCATAAATCAGATTTGAACTCCATTCACATTTATAACATCAAAGAAGAGATCAATCCACAACTTGTTGGGATGAAAAGGGTGGGAGGATTTACAATTTTCAAATGCAGATTGATAATTAAACGTTTTGATCACTTCGACCAATCTGTGTTTCATGATTAACCCAATAACTGCTTCCATCTGGTC